CCCCAAAACCCCAAAACCCCAAAACCCCAAAACCCCAAAACCCCAAAGGATTATGTAATTATTGAAGAGGGTAATTATAATTTAAAAAGATGTCGGACTACTCTGACTCAGAACATTCACTCATAGATGACCTTAACTCCTCGTTTAAGGCAACTAACAAGTACCCCACGAAGTCACCCATGAAGATGGGAAATGATGAGAAAGTCAAGGTTGTGCACTCTAAACTTACCGACAACGAAGAGCCTGAATACGAAGGCGAATCAGAAGATAGTGAATACAATGAAGATGAAGACGACTGTGATGAAGAAGAAGCATTCATGCGTAAGAAGAAAAAGGAACTCAAGTCCAATAAAAGAAGGAAAATCCAAGAAGAAGAAAGTAAAGAAGAAGACGACAGTAGTGAAGAAATCGAGCCAAAGGAACTCCCTCAGAGAAAATCTAGAGGCAAAAGAATGAACTTACTTGTTGGAAAAGCCCTTGAAGAGGACGAAGCCTTCTGGGGTGCTGATGTCTTTAAAGAAAATGAAGAAGATGACGATTTTGAAGCTAATTCTTCAGAAGCTAAGGATAGCTTTGATTCAGATTTTGATAGATCAGAGCACTCAAACGAAGGTGAAGGATCAGAAATGTCAGCAGAGAAAGAAATAAGAATGCGTGAGAAGAATGAGAGGAAAAAGAAAGTTAAATTTGCAGTTCCCGCTAAAAAGAAGAAGAAAGCAAAAGCAAAGCCTAGGCCAAAACCAATCCTTAAAAAGCCGCCAAAGAAGGATGAAGAAGAAAACGAAGAGAAAGACGATAAGGAGGACAGAAGCTCGAATGCCTCTGAAAGTGTGACAGTCACTAAAAGATCTAAACGACTTGCTGATAAAAGAGAAGAAGAGACTAGTGATAGTGAGGCTGAAAGAAAAGAGAGAAAGCAGTATTCAAGCAATCCTCAGAAGAATCTTGAGAGAAAGAGAGAAATTAAGGAGAAGCATAAAGCCTTCCTAGAACAACACGGTATTATTGGAGATGTCCAAGAGAAATGGAGCGAACTTTTAAGCAAAGATAAGCTCTCTCCTATTGAAAAAATACAAGAAGCAGCTCTTACAGAAATTATCAACAAAGAAAGCCTGTCATACCTTCAAGAACTAGAAAATGAGAGGGTAAATGAAATGGTCTATAGAGATCGAAGACCAAAGGGGCCTAGTGTCAAACTTATTCAAGATGTCAAACCTGGACATTACAATAGCAGAATGGTCTTCCCAAGCTCTGATTTCTATCCTAAAAACTTCAATACCAAAAAGGAAAGGAGGGGAAATAGCAAATATTTATCAAAGAACTACCAGATGAATACCTGTATGATCACTGGAAAGAAAGCTAAATACAGAGATCCTTTGACGCTAACTCCTTTCGCAAACAAGGATGGATTTAGAGTAGTCCGTGAGAGATATTTCCAAAAGGAGGAAGATAAAATAAACATGAGGATCCATGTGATCAATGAGTTGTTGAACCAAAAGAAGGACAAGCTTAAGAGGTATCAAAGCTTTGACAGAAATCTTGAAATTTCCCAAGAACAGAGAGAAGTAATCATGAGAAACGCTCAGAAATAATTATTGATAACTTTCTAAAAACTGGTTCAAATTACATGAATAATATTGGGGTTTTGGGGTTTTGGGGTTTTGGGGTTTTGGGG